ATCCTGTCAGAATACTGTAGAGTAATATTTTTATTGAATAGACTGTTAAAACCCGAAATTGGTTCACGCTTCAGTGTATTTGTATAAGTATGGTTTATGTTAAACCTGTTTTAATTTAATTTTTTTTCTTAAAACAGTGACCTCTGTCTTCTAATACTGAGTAGGTGCAGTTGTTTATTATGAGGTTGACAAACCAGCATAGCATTCATTAAAATCTTTCCTATGGTATGAATATAAAAAAAGGAAAGCACTATATTTTCTTCAGAACTTTAGCAGTAATTATATAGATTTTTAAAAGTGACTCCAACATTGTAGCTGCAAAACAGGAGAAATTCAGTAGCAGAGTTCTTGCAATAATTGATAAATCAATAGTAAAAAATAGAATTTTATATAGCAGCATTTTTTGACAGCGGAAGATCCATTATGTTCAAATATTGTATTTATCACCTGTTAAAATCATATGTCCAAATGATATCCATATCCAGATTTCTTAAACTGAGTTAAGGCTGCAATCTTATCTTTCTGTGCTTTAGAAACTATCTAACAAAGTAAATGTCATATCTTTGACCTTCTACGGAGCCCAAATAAAGTGGAGGATTTTTTATATTTTCACTATTCATGGCAACTCTGGGAATATAATCCCTTTCCTAACCTTTTAATATCAGTGGAATGAGTCTGCTCCATTGACTACTAGAAGCAATCCACAAAAAGGCCTTCAGCCTTCTGTGGGAATTATGGGGTTTGGATTCCACAGTAGCAGATCCTCATGAAATTTAATGTTTGATGAAGTTATTCACTAGGACAGGACAGATGTGACCTGGCATTGATCTGATGGGAAACTGCTGATACACAGCATTACATCATATTACCTAAAATTTTTTTGAAAATGCCTCTGGTATAATCAATAGTGCATGGAAGAAGCAGCTGCTCAGAACCATGCACAATATAGCTGCCTATGATAACCCTTCACTGACAGTCACAGAAGTATGACTACTTACAAATGCTTCTATATACACAAGTGCTTCATTTTTTTAACTACAGGGATTGTCTTTCTGTCTTCATCAATGGTGTGGTGTCAAGTTCTAATATCCACTTCGAGCTGAAAGTTGTCTTCTTTGTCATTGATTATCAGGAACAGTCATATTCTTTTTTCTGTGTAACTCATATTCTTTTTTCTATGCAGATAGCATTGTATTTTCCTCTCCTAGAACACTTGTTTTTTTTTCCTAAGTAGTGCAGCCTACGAAGAAATACTGATCACATTTGTGTATTATCAATTACACTACCATTTTCTGTGGTCATCCGCACACATAGAAGAAGAAGGGGGGCTCTGGAAACTACAGGCCTGTCAGTCTCACTTCAATGCCTAGTAAAATCATGGAAAAGATTAGTCTGGGAAGTATTGAAAAACACCTGGAGAACAACGTAGTAATTGATCACAACTAGCACGGCTTCATGAGGGAGAAGTCCTGCTTGTCAAACCTGATTTCCTGCTACGACAGAGTATCCACCCACCTAGGAAAGACAGTAGATGTAATCTTTTTGGATTTTAGCAAAGCTTTTGATACCATCTCTCAAAGTATCCTTCTGGACAAAATGTCCAGTGTACAGCTGAATTACCATGTTATGTGATAGGTGAGCAACTGGATCACAGGTTGGGTACAAACAGTTATAGTGAATGGGGTTACATCAGACTGGTGGCCTGTCACTGGGCTCCATCCTCAGCCCAGTTTTCTTCAACATCTTCATAGATGACTTGGATGTGGGACTGGAAGGAATACTAAGTAAGTTTGCTGACGACGCAAAACTTGGAGGAGCTGTTGACTCCCTTGAGGGCAGGAAGGCCCTGCAGAGGGACCTCGACAAATTAGAGAGGTGGACAATCACCAACCACGTGAAGTTTAACAAGGAAAAGTGCCGAATTCTGCACCTGGGATGGGACAACCTTGTTTGTGTTCATAGACTGCAGAATAAGAGGCTGGAAAGCAGTGCCACGGAAAGGGACCTGGGGGTTCTGGTTGATGGCAAGTTGATATGAGTCAGCAGCGCCCTGGCACCCAGGAGGGCCAACTGTGTCCTGGGGGGTTGCCATCAGGCAAAGCATCACCAGCTGGTCGAGGGAGGTGATTGTCCCTCTCTGCTCTGCACTGGGCCGGTCTCACCTTGAATATTGTGGCAGTTTTGGGAACCGCAAACACAAAAAAGAAGTTAAGGCATTAGAGAACATCCATCCAAAGGTGGGCCCTAAGGAAAGTGAAGGGTCTGGAGGAAAAGCCATATGAAGAGTGGCTGAGGTAACTTAGTTTGTTCAGTCCAGAGGAGAGGAGACTGAAGGGAGACCTCATTAGGGTCTTCAACATCCTCGTGAGGGGAAGAGAGGCAAGTACCGATCTCTTTACTCTTATGACCAGTAGCAGAACTTGAAGAAATGTCAGGAAGCTGAGTTGGGGGAGGTTCAGGTTGGACATGAGGAAAAATTTTTTCACCCAGAGGGTGACTGAGCGCTTGAACAAGCTCCCCAGGAAAGTGATCACAGAACCAAACCTTTCTGAGTTCAAGAAGCATTTGGACAATGCTCTCAGGTACATGGTGTGACTCTTGGGGTGTCCTGCACAAGACCAGGAGCTGGACTCAATGGGTACTTTCCAACTCTGCATATTCTACGATTCTATGATTTATCTGGGTCATGGCAATCCAAGACAGAGCTACAGTCTGGGTGGAGAAGTGATTGAGAGCAGCCCTGCAGAGAAAGACTCCAGGGTGGTGGTTGATGAAAAACTAGACATGTGCGAGCTCACAGCCCATAAAGCCAAGTGTGTCCCGGGCTGCAGCAAAAGAAATGTGGCCAGCAGGTCAAAGGAAGTGATTCTCTCCCTCTACTCTGCTCTCATGAGACCCCACCTGGACTACTGTGTACACTTCTGGTGCCCCCAACTTGAAGCAAGTCCAGAGGAGGCCACAAAGTTGATAAGAGGATGGAGCACCTCCTCTGCAAACACAGGCTGAGAAAGCTGGGACTGTTCAGCCTGGAGAAGGTTGCATGGAGACCTCATTAGCAACCTCCCAGTATGTGAAGTCCTACAGGGAAGGCAGAGAGGGACTTTTCATCAGGAACTGTAGTGATAAGACAAAGAAGAATGGATATAAATTGAAAGAGAGGAAAGGTTAGATATTTAGGTTAGATATTAGGAAGAATGCTTTTACTGTGAGGATGGTGAGACGTTGGAACAGGTTGCCCAGGAAAGTTGTGGATTCTCCAACCCTAGTAGTGTTCAAAGCCAGGCTGGATATGGCCTTGAGCAACCTGGTCTAGTGGGAGGTGTCCCTGTCCGTGTCTGGGGCTGTTGGGGCTAGATGACCTTTAAGGTCCCCTGCAACCCTTAACATTCTGATTCTGTGATTTCAACAGAGTTTCATATTTCCTACTATGGTAAAGTACTTCAAATAATTAGTACAAAACCACATTGCCATGAGGTTCATTAAAATATAGGGGATAATAATTCTCAATTTATAATTATTTTCCTCTTTGACTATTCACTCATATTTTAGTTAATTTAATATGGTCTAAGGTTCTAAGGTCTTTTGCAACTTCATCCGGGCAGTTGACCATAACAGACACATCTAAATACAGAAACTGGAATATCTTCTCTTTCATACAAGAAATATTTAGAGAAACTGCCTGGACCTTGAATGCATCAATAGACTCTAATTGGCTTGACCAGCCTATAATTATCTTTCTCTGCAATGCTTCCTTGGTGACCTCTTTCTCTCCTCTCGCATGTTTAAATGCTGGTGTTCAAGCTGAGCTCTGATGTGGCCCAGCACTATCATCTTGGATCATCCTACTGTGAAAACAGGACTCATCTCTGAGATGTCCACAATTTCATTCATTTACCCATGAGCTCATTTACCCATGAGCTGCATTTAAGCTCAGGCCTTTGAACTAGTTCTTTTCCAGGGCTGATTTTTTCAGTATGCATGGATCCAGCTTTGTGTCTTGATGATTTAGATCTGCTGAACAAGCTACCCAGCTTGACCACAAACCTGCTTCATCACTACATACTTGTCTGGTGATCTGAAGTCTGATGGACTTCTGGGATTGTGTCCTTAGTTGATGAGGTCACCATCACCACTAGCTTTGCTGTCGCCTTTGGTTCCAGCTCTCTTTCCCTTAAAAAAAGGACTACTCTTCCTATTCCATGAGGTAAGGAATAACAGCAGTCCTAATACATTTTGTCTGAACACCCAAACAGATAAGTGGATATGACTAGATAAATGGCCCTAAGTGACCCTGCTTATGCAGGGTGGTGGACAAGGTGACCTCCAGAGGTCCTTTCAGACCTCAATCATTCTGTGATCATCAACTGTTATTCACAGAACAAGTAGTGGTTGAGCAAACTGCTGATGGAGAAACTATTATTTCCTCTCTTTTTACAAGCTATGGCCAGAAGAATCTTGCTACACGATGGATCTTGCTTAACATTTTCAGGAACTATTCTGAGAGTTAAAACTAGCAGATTTTTTTTTTTCAAATTGTCAGTTTGAATGAACCTCCTACACTACAGTTTCATCATAAAACTTTTAAGATTGTACTAAGTTTAAACGTGTTTATGTAAGTAATTTGATTCTGGTTAAAAAAATGGCAACAGATGTTCTTAATTCAAGTAATGTATTTTTAAAGGCTGAAACACAGCTGTGATTATAATCTTTGTGGGTAATGGCACTGGACCACAATCAGTTATATATTCTTTTCATTATAAAAATATCCTTCAGTTATCTTACTTAATACAGTACTAAACACGGTCTCAGTAGAAAAGTAATAAAAAAAAATCTATATTACCCAAGCGAATTGTCCTCGTGTTATCGATTTAAATAAAAAAAACCTACAAAAGTATGCTCCTCTTGTCTCTTAGAGTAATGAATGCTTTTCAAGTTCTGCTTGTCGGAAGCTTTTATACTTTGGAACACTGAATAAGTTTAACATGTATTAAATTACTTACAGTGAATCCTCCAATTATATTAAGACACAATCCTTCATTCAGACAGTTGATGCTGAGCAGGCCGCAGTAGTCAATTACTTCCTCACAGTTCTTTCCAGTGAATCCTGGCATGCAGCTGCAAATGCACAAGTGTATTTTAGAGGACTTGCATTTTAAAAGTTAATTGTATTTAATTATGTTCCATAATTCTATTAAATAATGTTCTTGCAGTAACAAAACAGATCTCATATGTTATTTAAAATACACAGAATATGTTTTCAAGGAATTAAAAATCAGTTGCATGATTCTGAATAATTTTGCTTTCCCATAAAATATTAATTTCATAGACTAAAGCATTTTCATATCAATATAATCTTCCAGAAAAAAAACAACCAGAATGAGGTATTATTAATAAACAGCTATAAACAAAGTAACAAGGTTTTGGGAAACTGTTAGAAAGAATAGGTCAATTAAAGCACCAAAGAGGAAAAATTAGAAATATGATGATAAGTGAGTTTTAAAGTAAATAACATCAATCATTGCTAATGATTTAATGGTAATAAATAATGACATGCTTAGTTAAGTATGGAACAATGTAGAGAGAGCAATGCATAGTTGGTTTTGTGTTTGTTTTATTGTAATTCAGTATTTTCTTTAAAGAAGAAAACTAGCATTTTATTTTTGTGATGGTTTGTTAGCTCCATGTGATGGCAATGGAGCTGCGGGTAACTCTTCTATGGTAAAAGGAACTACAGAAACTTATTCTGTTTCATGTCAATGTTTATTATTAGTAGGAGAATATCCTTTTCTTATGTAGCCCTCCAGTGTTTAGAAAAAATCCCGTATACACAAATAAAAAAGAAAAAAAGATGATATTTAAATTGATAGTAAACAAGTTTTATTCAAAAGTAATAATGGAACAATGTAGAAAAATATTTGAATATTTATATCCTGATAGATAAAAATCCCTGTCAAACTCTATATGTTTTTACTGACATACATAGCATGTTCCTCTGTCTAAAGACTCTTTCTGGTATCGTGTAAAGAAAAGATTTAAGAAGAGAAAGGAAGTGGCCAGCAATATGAAAATTTGTGTTTGTGAAGGAATCCAAAAGGGATAGATTGGATGTTTCCTCTTAGCTTTTTCCAAAGGGTACTTTGTCAAATGACTCGGTCCAGAAGCTGGAAATCATGAACATGAAATAGATTTGCTTCTGTTTCTCCTATGTTCTTGTTCCTAATAAATATGAGTTTCAGACATGTTGCTCATGTTTTCCCATTAAAAAAAAACCAATTCCATCCCTGGTTTCAAAATGTATCAAGTCTCTCAGAGTTATGCAGTATACAAAAGTAAAGGATATATTTTCAATAGCAATTAGCTAGGCAACAACATTCGATAGAAAGTGCCTGAGTTGACCATACTGTCTAAATCAGCTAACGAGATCTATCAGCGGGTATAGCTCTGCCTCTGAGGAATGCACAGACACATCTAGCATGTCCAGAGGCTGCAGTCACTAATTAACCTTAGTTAAATATTAAACAGGTTGGATTTAATAAGAAATCGCTGGAGACCATCCACATAATTTCACACATAGGACCATTTGGACAGAGGTAGATAAATATAGGAAAAACTTCTCTAAATAGTTGTATGTTTTGAGGCTGGTCACAATCACAGAAGGACACTCTATGCAAGTAGCAATGGACTGTATAATCCTCACCCTCCTCTTGAAAAAGGTGTTGTGTGCAATTATATTGCTGCTATTTCAAGTACTTGGCTTCAAAGTTCTTGCAAAGTCTATTCTTAACAGATTTCCAGTTCATGTACTGTAGCTAAAAGGAGTTTTTCATAATAGTTATCTGCTTTTAGTTCTGTATGTTCAGGGATATCAGATAGCTACATTCTGATTTTTCCCTCTAAACAAAAGTACTCATATCAACAGATAGCATATCTATTGTCCTTTATACTATAGCATAATTTATCCATACATTAAATTTACATATAAAAGGAACATAAAACAATAATAACAAAGTTTTTTAATCTTTTGTTATAATTTAATTTTTAAAAAACATCTAAACCAAAAACAGAGCAATTATTACATTTGTTTTACTGATTTGTTTTTACTTATGATCTGAAGAGGTGAAAGAGTTCCTAGGTTTTTTTTGCTTTAATCTATTTAGCTAGTCTATGACTGTTTCATTAAAGAGATAATCTAGTAAGGAAATGTTAGAAGCTGGATTTTCTAATTTTTATACTTGTTCATTTTTCCTATTTATGTTTTTATTATTTTTTTTGCAATAAATATACCAATGTTAGGGAAGGTAAAAGTAAACTAAGAGCAAAAAAAGTTGACAGTAAAGTTACAGAGACAACATTAACAGAACAAATTTTCTCAGAACACCCTTTCACATTTTTGTGACTTTTAATTGTCCTAAAGAATGTGGAAAATAGAAGAAGACATAAAAAAATCAATCACAGTTTATTGTGATGGATATCCTTGTTCACCGGCTATTTGAATTCAGCTTAATTTTTTACATTTAAGAAAAAATGTTACTATTATATCCTTAGCATAAAGCTGCATATGATATCAAGACTGAAAGGGTGGAATTACGATACATGATAGTCATACATCATAACTGAAGTGGAGAAAATTAAACTGAGTCAGTCTCCTTATATGTTTAGAGTGGAAAACAACTGGTTTTCCAAAGAAGGAAGGATGTATAGATAAAAGCTGAGATTGTGGTGGATATAAGAAGAATGTAGCTTGGGCATGAGGAAAACCACATAAGATAGGGGGAAGCAAAAAAAACACATAATGAAGTAAAAAGGTCAAAACAGCTATTATTTGAACTTGTATCTGCATGTGAGATAAATGCCATTATGTTTATTTATAATGTTAAAATACTATAAAAGTGGATCACGTAGCAATATTGCATATAGTATTACACTGTATTGTTGTAGTAGTATTACGCTGAATGAAACACATGTAGTTTATTGTGAGGTAATTGGACAGAGACACAACATACAGTATTTGACAATGATTGCCAAAAGTGAAACAAATCTTCACTTAAGACTTTGAATTAGCTAATTATTCAATCTGCATTGTACACAGGGCCAGGATATTTTTTAATATTTTTGTTTTGTTTTGTTTTTGCTAATAAAGGCAATCTACATCTTGATATTAATTATTCATGATATGCATATTTTAAATGTAAATGTCAAAACATAATTTCCTACTTATTCATGCACCAGCATACTGTGTGAAAGACTCACTATATAATAATAAATTATTAGCTTATATCTTGGTTTAAAGAATTGGAAAATGAATGGCAACACTGTTGTTCTGTGCTATACATATCTATATGGGAAGATCTAACTTGTATGTGTGCTTGTATGTGTTCGTTTATATGTATTTCTGTATTTAGGAATAAGTATGAATAAAATGTTAAGTATTTTCTTCTTTGGGAGAATTGTAAACATAGTTCTACTTATATTTTTATTTCCAGACTTCTCAATTTGATTTCTGCTGATGGACTGTAAGTTTGTGCTCTGTACATCTTTTTTTGCAGTTTCTAAGTTCATTTATAATGTGATGTCAGGCTTTTGTGTATTGCAGCTTTCAATTTTCTGCTTTCATGAATATCCTAAAATTTGAATGTTGTTTACCGCACTTCAGTAATGCTTAGCAGAAGCTACTCAGGCAGCCAGATAAAAGCCAAGAAAGAGGGAAGAGGACAAATTGTACTCCTTAGTGACATAAAAAAAAAAAAATCTAAAAACTTATTTAAAGTGAAATTAAATTATACACTGGGTCTCTTCTGTTACTTTCAAATGGATATTTTTTAGCATGGTCTTTCTGAATAAAAGAGTTTTTCATATGCTGCTTGAAGGATCAACCTAAGGTCTACTAATGCATGTCTGTGAACTAGAAATTAAATAGGTTGTCTTATCTTTTCAGAAAAAACAGTGACACCTGTAGTATAACTGTCTCACTTATCATCAGTTTGTCAGGATTTATATGTTTCATCTTACAGTATTAATAACAGAATGATTTTTAGCCCCTTCAATACTTTAAATCTTTCTGTATCACTTCAAGAGTTTTCAAGAAGACTAATACAATAAAGCACCAAAAATAAATATTTTAAAAGAGAAATTTATAGTTTTCTGTGCTCTCTGTGAATGACAATGTCTTTTCTTTCTGCAATCTGTGGGATATCATCATGTGAAACAACAAAGTACTGACATAAATTAATTTCCAATCTTACCGGCAGTTGTAGTTCTGCTGTTGAGCTATGCAAGTTGCATTATTTAAACAAGGCAATAATTCACACGGGTTCAGTATTCTCTCACAGAACTTGCCAGTAAATATTGGCAGACAGATACATGCCACATCCTATAGGAGACAAGGAAATTAGAAATAATTGTGATACCCAAGGCAATACAAAAATTAGTGTTTACTTCCATTTCTAAACAGATCCTAACAAGGCCAGGATTTCATCATATTAAGCAGTCTAGAAAGACAGAAGGAAAAGCAGTTCTAGCCTCAGATAGGTTACAAACTTGACTTAGGATAAGTGTAATAAGCCTTCCAGTACAGATTATACCAGACTTGGGTTTGCTAGCTGGAAATACACCAGCTCTAAAATTGGTTGGCTCTGTGATTTCATAAGTGAATCAAGAATGAGTTTTATAATACATTTAGGCTTTTCCTAATTTCTGAATTTTTTCCAATATAATATTTACATCTATCAAACAGGAACAGTACACAAGGTACATCAGATACCAAATAGTATTCAGCAACTAGAGGAGGAAAGAAAGTTGTGTGTATCCTTTTTCCCCTTCATTATGAGGCACAGAGACTATTCTTCTCTATAATGGTGAAAGACATCTGTCAGTTACTGCAATTCCTAATTTGCACAGTAAGAAACGTAAGTTATTTTACAAAACAAAATATTTCTTAGAGCTTATACTCTCACCCTTATTTTTCTATATGAAGTTATGCTCTTTATAGGCCTTTTGAAGTCAGAAAGTAAAGGAAAAAAATAAAGGGGTTTGTTCCCCTAGGGAAATTGGAAGTGCTCAGGTGTTTCTTTAGAATTGGTCCTAAAGGTATAATCAGAAAACTTCAGTATCTATTGAGAGATGTCTATATGTGTGAAACAAATTACTATATTTGTTTCTTTATTGTACAAAATAGTATGTGCTAGTATATCTAATAGACAAAATATATAAACAGGTTGCATGACAGGAATCTATCAATTTTTTCAGCAATTTAGATGTCCCTTTTTTTCTCTGTGCATGAATATGTATCACTGGTATGCAATAACTAAGCTTTTGAATTCTTCTTTCACTATTTTGGTTCTGTACAATCACTGCTATTTGCAATAGTCATGCTAATGAAAGAATGATACCTTTTGACATATAACCAGGTATGATTTTATTATCGAAACTTTGTGACTCTGCATGAATTTATTCTATTTTACAAAAAGAAAAATGAAAGAAAAAGGGGAATTAAAAACATACCACATGAAAAGCAAGAAAAAGAGACAAACACTAGTTAATAAAGACCACTGATGCATCATGTTTTATGTCATAAGATTTTAGCAGAGAGAGGAATAAAGAAATGAACCAATATTAGTAGCTCCTTAAGTGATCACCAAGCAACTGAACTGAAACGTGGAATTTGGGCTTTTTATCATAGAATTTGTCATGGTTTGAGAGCCTCAAAAAATCCAATTCCCTAGTCCAAACCCCCTCCCACATCTCAACCCAGTGTGAGATGATTTTTTCCAGACACCACACAAGACTCAAAATGGGGTAAAGGGAATATAAGTTACAATGACTGTACAAATAAATACTACAATACATTATATACAATCTTAATTATCTCTACCATGACATAAGTATTTACAATGGATCAAATCTCTTCTCCCCTCCAAATAAAAGTCCAGGAGGGAAGAAGGAAAAGATCCCTTTCTACTCTCAAAGCAGCAATGTCTCTAAGGCAGCAGGCATCCATCCTCTTCTCATGCAGCAGCTGTAGTTGGATCTCTGCCAGTACACACGAGGGGATATCTAAGCCCTCGTGGTCCATCGTCTAAAGCGAGGGTCTTCTCTTCCATGGGCTGCGTTTCCCAGGACAAGGGAGCTATCACCACGTCATATCACGAAGCGCAGGGGTCTTCATGACAGTCCTTATCTTCAGGGGATTCAAGCTGCCTACAGAGCTCTGTGCTCTGTCTCAAGCAGCGGGGGGGGGGCCAAGGTCACCCTCTCTGCATTCTTTCTCGGAGCTTTTTTAGCTCCTTTCTGCAGTGCTGTAGCACTTTAAGACTCTTTCAAGTAAGAGTCCATCATCCTCCTCCTTTCTCGGAGGTCTCAGAGGGGTATGGGGTTTTATTTTAGTTCTGACCCCAACTTCCTCTCTCTCTTTGTAGAGCCTAATTCTCTCTCTGCTGCTGTCTCTCTCTCTCGGCTCTCTCAGACAACTCTGCGTCTTCCTCAGCGGCATGATCTCTGCTGCTTTTTCAGTTCTTATCTGTTGGCTCTCTGCCACTGTCTCCGGCCAGTGTTGTTTTTGCCGCCGCTTCTGCTGGTCACGGTGGAGAAAAAAACTTCCAGCTTCTCAGTCACCGACCTCAGTCCAGTTTAACACTGTTTCCGAGTTTCTATGGCCCCAGCCAGGGGCTGGGGGGCCGTGGCCCCCCAGAGGGGCTCCTGCCCCTTCTGCTCGTGGCTTTCACAACATGGCTACCTCTTCAACTACCACTACAACTACCTTCTCTTCCGTTCTGTTTGTGATATGTCTATATTTTGCAGAAGCGCTCCTTGGGTAAAACCTCAAAACTTCAAGGGTCACCACCCCCTGGGGTTTTACCATTTTATAACTTCAGGGGGAAAACTGTTTCCTCCCACCACATTAGAATCAAATGTTTTGACACTTTCATGGTACAGATCCTCCTGGAAGCTATGTCAAGGCATATGGATGACAGGGAGGTGATTAGGAACAGCCAACATGGCTTCACAATGATGTCTGACTAATGGTGGCTTTCTGTGATGAAGTGATTGCAATGACTGGTAAGGGAAGAGGAACTGATGCCATTTACCCTGACTTCTGTAGGGCCTTTAACATCATCCCACACATAGTCATTGTTTCTAAACTAGTGAGATGATATTTAAAGGTCCCTTCCAACCCAAATAATTTTATGATTCTGTGATTTTATGATTCTATGTTCAAATAGGGATCTCTAAAGTTTATACTTACATTTGGCAAATCAATACATGTGCCTCCGTTCTGACATGGCCTTGAAGAGCATTCATTGATATCAATTTCACAGTTGTGGCCAAGAAATCCAGAAGGGCAAACACAAACATATCCAGACCGATTATACTGGCATATGCCTTCATTTAGGCATGGCTGAGATTCACAAAGATCACTAGGTTTCTCACAAAATGAACCTAAAAGAAATAAACATAAAAAATTACAGTGTTTGAATGAATAGGTCCTCTTGACATGCTGCCCATAAACATAACTTTTTTACTTCCTTACTATGATGTGTTGTTGTGTTTCCCTATTATTTATTTTCTTTTCTAAAAAAAATTTTGAGAGATTGAGAGGCTTTTATTTATTGTGGTTTTTAAAATTGTTTACACTGCGAAGCTCCAATTACTGACTGGGGCATCTGTATGCTATCACCATTTAAAAAGCAAAGAATTTAATATATTCCTGTATGTTTTGTTTGTTTTGCTGAATAAATGTGGTAGAAATCTATGGGAATGACTAACCTTATCTGTAACAAAGGAAGGAGGTGAACTAGAATCATAGTCCCAGAAGACACTGAACAGTCACTCAATATTTCTCTCATTGTGGTTATTACTAGGGGAAGCTGAATCCAGTATACTCTCAGACACGTAAGGTTGTTCTCATTTCTATTTATAGATCCAGCCAGTAGCAAAACTGAATGTGCTCTCAGTAAGCAAACACACAATCACATACACACACACAAATCCACCCATGCACACCACCACCCACCCCCCATACACAAAATACAGACACATCGGCCATATGGATCAACAGCAAGAACGATGTCTTTTTCCTTGCATAAACACAAACAGCAGTCACATAAATGACACAGCAATGATGGCTCAAACTTTTTCCTCCTCTCTGGCTAGTCAGTGTTGAAGTTCAACAGCAAACATACGCACTCTCTCATTTTCTATATGCAAAAATAAACCCTCATTAATGGATCTCTCAAGAATCAGCATAGATTTTGCCTGAGATCCATACCAGGATCCTGAACCTCTTGACAACTTGCTGGCTCAGAGCTTGAGTCATTCCAGATCTGGGTATCATTCTGGTTGCTGGCTAGTCCAGTTTAAAGGTCTGTCGCTCCCCACTAGGAAAGCTGGTAACACAGAAGTAGCAAAGAGACTGCAGTGATCAGACACAGTCTCAGCCACACAAGTATAATAGGTAGCAGCCTGCTTACTTTCAGCTAGCAGCTAAGAATTTACTTCCATTTACTTCAGAAAAATTATGTAGTAAATACGCTTTTTACATATTTTGTGCTTTAGTGCTCTGATTCAAAGCAACTCCCTATCACATACTTACAGATTACATCAGAAGAATTTTTCAGCAATTTGCTGTAGCAATAACATTTACTTCATAATAAATCCCCTCTGAAGAAGTAATATGTATTGATTCCACATTTTGTTAGTCACTTGAGTCCACTGAATTAAAAATAGACATTCACAAAAGAATAAATTATACTTTACAAAAATATGTATAATTTTGAAATGGTAAACAGAATACTTTTAACTCAAATTGTAAACTACAAGGTAAACATAACTAATTAGTTATAAATCAATTAATAAATAAGTATGTGAACCTCTAATAATTTCATTACCAGTAGCTATATAAAGGAACTGTAAGTATGCGTAACAACATTTACTAGGAGATCGAAATTTCACACTCTGTCTCTATTATATAACAGAACAGTTGATGCAACAAACACTATACAAGAAAATCCCATTAGCAGAAAAAGGGTCAAAACACATTTTCCATCCCTCAGTTCAGTGGAAATAGTTATTCCAATAAGGCAAAAGAAATTGGATCTATCTTTTATTACGGAATGTTCACTTCTCTTTAACATCAGAGGACAGTCAAAAAATCTTTCACAAATTTTTTGCTATCCCTCATCACCATAGTAACCAAATTACAGTATATTGCAACTTGCAGATGTTAGGGCTTGCTAATAGGAAAAGCTAAGAAGGCCATTCATCAGAACAAGGTCATTGATTGGTATTAGTGCATATATAAGAGAACATCTGCAACATGAAGTGAGGGGGATTGGTCAATTCTCTCATAATTCTATTTACTATTTAGCTGTCGTGTTCTACTTCAGTACAACATTGTACTCCAGCAGTACTCATAGATGAGGTTATATATCAATGCTCACCCTATTTTTTCCTTTTATTAGGCGCATTTGACAAGAATAGATGCTCCTATCCTATCCACAATACTAAATAGGAGAAGGTAAATGAGCAAAACAGTGACTCCCTTTGCTCCACCCAGAGGAAAGCCAGAAAGAGTAGTCTCACTAGCTAAATGGATTAATGAGTTTTTCCTGCCATTGTTTCTACACCTGAATCCATTCAATTCTCCCCATTTTTTCAGCCACCATTATCAAGCATTTCTTAGCTTTTTGTTAAACCATGGCTCAATGGGATTATTAGAACAAGGAAAGACTAAATGAACAAAATAGCACAGAAAACTTTAGGCCAGTTGGGAAAAACAGATGAAACAGGTCCCTTTTCCGTAATGTTACGTTCATTTCCAGCAAAACTAGAAAAAGATAATTGTTCTGTCAAAAAAAAAAAATTAAAAAAATTGTGCAACATTCTTTTAAGCGAAGACTTGAAGTAGCTAGAAGAGGAAAAGAGAAAATCCTGAGAAGAGATAAGGAAATATTGTCAACCATGCCATGAGACATATATCAAGGAAAAATGCATGGTTCAAGGATGGCAAAAAAAAAGATATATCCCTTTTTTCTCCTTGGTATCTCCTTACAAAGAGAGAAAAATATTCTTTTTTTTTAATTTGGGAAAAAACCAGTTCATTTAGTGGAAACTGGTAGCCTATAACCTAACCAGGTCAAAGGGGATCAATTTAAATGAAGATACTGAGGCAACAACTTCACTCATAGTCTAAAACACAAGTCACATCTATCAATGTCTTTTAGGAAGAATTCAGTGCTTTTTCCTTAATCATTGATGCTAATTATTTCTTTGACAATCCTGTACTCTGCAATTCACTGTATTCAGCATACTATGTAGAAAGCAAGAGCAGTGCTCTTTCACCTGAACATCCATGCCTGACGAGTTTGACAAATCAAGTCAATAAACAGAATTCTGAAGAATTTAAGATTTTTATTCTACCATTCTCAAACCTCATGTCACACTCAATCTATTTACTAAATAAGACTGAAAGATGACTTGATTACAGCTCTTGGATGGGGAAAATATCAAGCACTAAAGGGATCATTAATTCAGTGAAGAAGTGTATAAGAAAAGCAAACAACTAAAGAGAGAAGCAAAATCATATAAAGTGAGAAACACCTTATACATTTTTACCAGTAATATTTCTGTACAGGCTATCATGAAAGAATTGAATTCAACAGTTGCTGATGTCTTCACATCAATGCTTTTTAAAAGATAGTTCTTTAGCCATATACAAGAAGACTGAAGTCTTCATATATAGATAAGCAATATAACAAGCTTTGGTTGGAAGAGATAAACAACTAGTCCCCAAAATTTGAAAATCTATTTATCTACTTTGACTCAAACTGCATACAAACCCTTTTAAAAATTTTGTAAAATTATGAATTAATTATAAATTCTCATTTTAAAATGTATATGTTTTTGTCATCATCAAGCCTCTTGATGATATTTACATAAATACTTAGATATGTTAGATATACTTTAGATATGTTTAAATAAATACTTAAATTCATAACCATGCTAAGATTTATTGACCTCTTGAATCTTGTTGTTAGAATCAAGGTAAAGAGGGAACAGAACAAAAATAGATCTTTATAATCTGATATCAGATTCAAGCCTCTGAACGAGGGCAATATTTAAGCAATGAGCACTGCATCAAGGATCAACACATCAGTCCAACTTGCACTAGCTAGTAAATGCATATTTAAAAGGTTTTTACATGCTCTGGAGACCTAAGACTTAAATATATTAAAAAAAAAAAAAAAGAAAAAAGTGCAAGGCAAATTCTCTTAACTGCATAGATTTTAAACATAACCTTCTATTTTACTTTGATATCAATAAAAACATAGTACAGGCATAATTTATGTGCCATAAATGCTGTATATTTCTGTTGCCAGCAATTTCAACAAAAGTAATTCTTCCCTCAGTCAGACCCAAAAAGAGACATTTGCTGAAAATACTGAAGTCCCTTTAATGGTCACTAATGAATGATCAGCTACTCAATGCTATGATATATTGTTCAAATTCCCAGGAAGATAAATGCAGAAACCATGTTCTAATGAGAGATAGTTGACTCAGAAAAATTCATTTTGAAAAAAAAATAGTTATCACATTGATTGAATATCTTGATAAAAGAGGAAAATTAAAAACATCATCAGTAGAATCAGTTCACCTTGGTCCATCAATATAATGAATTCTTATTTGGTTTACTTCAATAAAATAAAAATTGTGGAAGATTAAAAAGCAGGAATAAGTGAGTAAAGATTATCTGACAGACCAATATGAAAGATAATTAATTTTAGTTTAAGGAATTGAACCTTATTTTCAGAATTTTCTTTTTTTTTTACACATGAAGAAAATAAAACCCTTCACCAAACTAAACGAATGACAGAAAACTCCCAGCCCTTCTTTGTTTGATTTAACTATGTACCTGCTAGTCTTCCTTAGTTTCACTGCGATGGTAAAATGATAAAGCATTTAAAAGACAAAGGACATTTCTGACACCATTGACAAAAATCACTCAGTTTCTTAAGATAGCACATAGTGACACTTACATAAATATCTGAGGTTACTGATTAAAATAAGTAGTTTCTATTTTTAATTGAAGTATTTCTGAACTTCATATTTATGCAAACACTTCTCTTCCCAAGGAGTAAAATATGCTAAAGATCATATTAGCATACAACATTTTCATATGATTTCAGTGTTTTGTTTTGTTGTTCCTCTAATGAAAACTCAATATTTTCTAGAGCAGTTATGCAAAAGGCACAGTAGACTGTTTCAGGAAACAGCATGTGTTATACCCTTATATAATCAATTATTTGTACTTGTGTCAGAACAGAGCAATAATATTTCAGGGCTGGGATAAAAAAGGAAGCATTTAGTAGGAGAGAGATTTATTCTCAGTGTAAATGAAACACATGACTGCCAGTTGCTACAATCAAGGACCAAGAAACACA